CCCGACCCGCTGACTGGCGATCAGGAAGCTTTACCCAGTTCCTCCCTCCCTCTTGTCTTCCCCGCCCACCGGCGCCACACATTTTCAAAACACAAATGTTTTTGAACCGGTGGTACCGAGAGGTTGCTAAGGTGAATGTTTGGGAGTGGGGGCTGGGTTTGTTAAGGCAGACCAGAAGAGTTGGATGGAAAAGTTGCCAGCCGGAATTCATGCAGTCAACTTTCTCTCGCTCGCTCTCTCTTGAGGGTACAATCACTTTTAAGCAGCCATTTGTTTTCCTGTGATTATGTGGATTTTTTTTACGAAGATGTCAAATGAAGCATGCAAGGAAGATGACAAGACTGTCTGGGGAGGAAAGGGCTACATGTAGCTTTGAACAGCCGTCCTTCCTTTTAAAGAGTGGACCAAGGACTCAAGATTACAAAAGAGATTCTGTGTTTGGACACACTGCCTCTGAGCTGCAGTTCTGATCCACAGTAAAAGTTCACCTCCGTATTACATGTAAATTTTCATGATTTACAATCCTATGCAAGAAATTCATGTATATGTACACATGTACATGTATGTAGTGTAACTATGGACTTGTACATGTTCATTATGAGTCACTGCACCACATTCAGTGACCTCTGGGAAGTTTTTGATACTAATGTATTGATACACATGTACCTGTTCATGTGCATTGCACAGTGCCAAGTGAATGCTTATTTCCTGCTCTAGCGATAGTGTACATGTATGTGACTGTTTGCAATCTTTCCAAGTGATCTTAAATGTACAGTATGTTCGAATGCCGTATATGTACGAACATGAACAACTTGAGTCGATGTAGAAAGTACTCGTAGCTCGCTTGCCATTGAACAAGGGCAGTTTTTGTACCAACATAGCTTGCTCTTTCTTAAATAACTTTAAATTACCTATATCAACATGATCCCTTATTCCTCAGAACTTTGGCAACATTTCAGGATCTATTCCTCATTAGGTAGGACAAATCATTCATCACCTACAGGTAGTAATGGGTGGGACATCAGGAAGATAATCATACAAGGAAGGCTTTGGTGTCCATCCATTCTCAAGGGGTGCTTTTGGGTCCGTCCCAATCCCAATAGTTCACCTGTTTACACCCCTAACTCCTTCCTATCCACCTCCCACAAACATTCAGGAAACTTGGTGTGGAAGGTGGCGATTTACAACAAATTTCCCAGTGATCTGGCGTCCTGATAATAACATGAAAGGTTTGTCCCTTGGGGATTTGTGTTTCCAGTACCAATGTTTAGTTGGGCGGGTGATCTACAGCCTGCCAGATGGTGGGTAAAGTCAACCAGGGGAAATGGGTGTGGAGGGTGGATAATTGAGGGCCATTAAACCTGTGACCTTTTGACTTGGGTTCCCTGAATGAGCTAATGCTAGCTCTGGGTAATCAGGTGACTTTGAAAAGTGAGAGCCAGCTGATACATGTATGCTGGCCTGGATGTGAAAACTGAAATTGGAAAGTGGGATTTCCCCCTTTTTTATCAGTTTGTGTCAGTGATTGATAAGTTGCTGTAATAATCCATGGGGTATGAAGAGAATCTTCTAATACTTGGTAGCAACAATTATATGTACTATATTTATGTATGCGTGTAGGCCCTACATGTAAGTTTAGACTGGTAGTTATGTACATGTAGGTGCACCTGTACGTCTGCACACAGTTGCTTTTATTGAATGTGGTTACGGAAGCATTTATCTTTCTTGAGGCCAGTTGATATGCTGTGTGTATTTGACAAAGAGCAAAAAGAAACGATTTAGAGATTATGAAGGACACTTAAATTGTGGACATGGATTTCCCTTTCACTTTCATGTTTACATTGTGAACCAAGCCTAACATGGACCAGTATGATACCTGCTCGTAAGGTGTGTAAGTTCTGTTCCTGGTACCATAATATGGGTCGGTGCAGTTCAGCTGAGGTCTTACAGAATCAACAGAGGGGAACATGGTTGTTGATCTGCTTGCAGCTGATATCCGTGATGAAGTTAAAAAAGTGTGCTAGGAATTTGTAATATTGAAACAAGGACTTTGCGTCTCATTCTTGAATCAGGTGTTTTCGTAATATTCAATTTTCAGTCCAAAGTCTGTGAAGTCTTGTGCAGCTTGTACATATAGTTGGATCTTTTTTTGTCCCACTTTTGAGTTGCATGTCTCTCAAAACGAACAGCATTTTTCCCTGGACAAAGCATGTGGCCAGCCACTGCCGCCAATATTATCCATTTTTCGTGCAACATGAAGTTTTAGTCCAACAGTATCTTTTGACCTGTTCGCAGACCCAGAACATGAAGGCAGATCCAGAGCAGCTCTTTGCCAAGTTGGAGCGCATCGGCAAGGGTTCCTTTGGCGAGGTCTTCAAGGGTATCGATAACCGGACCAAACGCATCGTGGCTATCAAGATCATCGACTTGGAGGAAGCCGAAGATGAGATTGAGGACATTCAACAAGAGATCACGGTGCTGAGTCAATGCGAGTCACCCTTCATTACCAAGTACCATGGATCCTACCTCAAGGTATGGTACTTCATTTTCTTTTGTATTCGGATCATAAAGTTTGACCTGTGCTGTCCCCACCCCACTGTGACTCGCATTTGGAAGCTATTTCAGCCATTGATAATAATGGGATACTGATTGTTACCCTATCAGAACATTTTTATATCATTGTTACTGATAAATCAACGTACGTTTGTATCATTACTCCATAATTACATGTGTCATCAACTCATCAAGCACATTTATAGAATAATGCATCATCCAATGCCTTGTCCCCAATTTGTTTTGTCTTGTTTTCGGTAGAGTACCATGATACATGTACGTGTAGTTAACTTGTTTCATATTTACCTCCATTTTCACTTTGCTGTTTGTTTTACCATGGAGAAATAAAACACAGAGCAGTCTCAATCCCATCAAGCCACACCACCCAAACTTGTCTAAAAATACTGATACTGAGTTCTATTTTAGACCTCCGTCACATTGCCTAGTGGACATGTACAATTCCTGTGACCCTCCCGAGGGTCAGCCTGGCTTAGTCAGTCAGTATAATTGAAGCAAGTGTCGGTTATTGTCTGCAGAGTGAAGCAGGAATTGATGTACCGGTAGGCATGGTAGGGTACATCACAGAGCATGTAGGTACATATTGTGTGCTTGTAAGAAGTTGTCGTGAGCTATTGTCCCTTGTCGAATGATTGATGTACATGTATCATATCCTGAATAATAACAGCAGCGTGGGTAAAAAGAAGGCGTGGCCACTTATGTACACTTACCTTATGCACATGTGGCCTGCATTCCCTTAACCAAGTTACAATACAGTATGCATGAACAAGGACTACATGTGTGGTTTCTGTATCAGAACATGTAAGGCACAAACATTTCATTAACCCTAACCCCCAAGGGTGTACATGGATGTAAAATCGTATTGAAATTGGAGGATTTGGGACTGATAGGTTAAATAAGCCAGGGTACAGGTACGCATGTACCTTGAGGAATGAATGGGCACAATTCTTATATTTTCACTTGCCATGTCCGGACTCCTGATCCACTGAATCAAACAACCTTTGAGGGACATGTTTTTATTTACAAGTTCATGTACATGTACCCCTACATATGCAGGTGTTGGGTAGTAGAATATGTATACATGTATGTACCGTAGGACTGCCATTCATCTGAGAGACAAATACCAAAGTGCACTGTACTTTTTTTATTTCTGTAAAGGTTGTTGTCCCAAATCGTTTCCAAACTTGACTGTGTTCACTATTTACTCATGGGTGGAGTTCCCATGAATGTGATTCCAAATGAATTACCGGTACCAGTACTGACAAGCAAGGTTAGAATTACAATGTAGATACATGCGGACATGCAGACATAATGCCAGTTTAAATGAAATTACCACATTGGTGGGAATTCGTTGTATTTCTGCTTTCTGCCAGTCGGCAAGTTCGGGCAGCAGGAGGTTTACCTTGTACTTTATTTGACAGGTGCCTGGGCCAAACAGCCCCCAACTCTTTTAAAAATGGCTACATAATCTCCCATGTAAAGTATCCCTACAGGAT